GGGGGGGTTAGTAGAGGTTTTACGGTGCTTGCAACTGCATAAGGTTATATGAGCGCCAAGGGGTGGATGTCAACAGAGAAGTCCGTACAGGGAATCAGACTTACTCTGCTCACCTCTCTAGCTTCAACAGCACAAAGTCTGTTTCGACTTTCAAGGCATCCCGGAAATAGCGGGTCACAAGAGTTTGATAAACATACAAAAGAAGTAGAGGAAAATGACGATAGTAAGGATAAGGGAATAAAAAGCAGCAGTTCCCTGTTGTAGTTGAGGCACAGTTATGAGCATGACATAGTTAGATCAGCCCATTTACTATTCTACTGTGCATTAGAACGAAAAATATCCCCCCTTTTGGAATGACCACAAAGCCTGCTCAGTGCTCTGCTGTAAAATGAGACTTACCCAATCATATTCTACAAGACAAAATGTTCACAGTCGCAAAAGGAAACACTTCTAAAAACAGCAACAACTGACTTTTCAAATCTAACTGTTGGATCGTATCAGTTCAGTACCCGTGTACCATCAATATGCACATGGACTAATAATAATAATAATAATAATAATAATAATCATTATCATTATTATCATCATAATCATAATCATTATTTATAGCACCAATTGCCTTGAATGAAGGCCCGAAGTGCTGTACAATGCAAAATTATAAAATTCAAAACAACAGACAAATCAAAACACAGAAAATGTATGGGGCATCGTAAGACCCTTTAACAAAGCACAAGCGCGCGCACACACACACAAAGACATGGCCTTAACTGGAGATGGCTACAACAACTGGTTCGTAGTTACTTGTTCAGATCATGTTAGTCCTACATTCCTCAGCTCTGTCGAGTCACGAGGTGGGCACCCTCTGTCCCGCTCCCTAGTGGAGTCATTTTTTCAGTGTCACCGAAGGTTCCGAAAGTTTGCACGAAGTCTCATACTATGGTGGTATCAGTATTAGTAAAGTAAGTAAAAGTCAGTATTAAAAGCTAAGCTACTGGGTTGAGACTTGTTCTACAGTAATTGTAGGTCGATGGAGCTAACAAATCATACCAGTTTAGTTTTGCTCTATCAGTTCACGTTTTGTTCTCTATGGCTTAACCACTGTATTTGATAAATGTAACTGAAGGAGCCCTAATGACAACAAATTCCAACCTGTTCTAAGCTGTGCATTTGTACATTATACAACTCACACACACACACACACACACACACACACACACACACACACACACACACACACACACACACACACACACACACACACACGCACGCATAAAACTCACAGACTTGCACACATTCTCACACAAACAAGCAAAAATTAATTTACTAGCAGAGGATTGCATTGAATAAATAATATGTCCTAAAACTCTTCTTTCAACTCTCTCTCTCTCTGACTACACAAAATGCATTCCTTTCGGCAGGAGAAGACCCCAATCTAAGGGGCATTTGCACTTCAATATATGAGAGGCAGCATGGTGAAGTCAGGCGCTCATCAAAATAATCAAAGTGGAGAAAGTGACATTTTCCCACGGTTTGTCAATTTTTATCGATTTTTTTGTTTTCTGGTTTAACATCTTTCATGCCTAATTAAGAACGTATTTCTGCGTGAACTTTACTGAAAAACGTTGGTAAAAGGCACAAAAAAGTGTAAATTTTCCGTTTCTACAGACTCTCTACCTAAGTAAATTACTCATCTTTGGCTGCCATTTTCTCACTAATTTTACCTCTGAAACTAGGTGGCCCCCACCTCCATCAATTACAAAAATATTTCGACTTCTATTCGAAATAGACGAAGATTTTTTTCAGCAAAAGGAAGGCAAATGAACAGGTTTTAAGATGATTCCAATAACTCCATAGAGCCAAAAACTGACGAGCGCCTGAATCCACTGCGTTGTGACACATTTGATGCAACCTACAGAAATCAACCTCTTCGTAAGGTGAAAAGAAGACAGCAGGATGAGGCACTAATTTCTTTCCAATACAGAGTTTTAAGTAACTTGATTTTGAATGAGAAAGAAGGTTGGGAGATGCCGAGGGGGTGGGGATGGAGACACCACTGAACACAAGAGCAATGTCTTCCGTAGGTATCCAAGAATCAGATATCTGTTTTACACTCAGACCACGTAGATGTGTCTGCGTACACATAGGAGGTAGGATATGTAGTAGTCGACCTACTCTCACCTTCGTTCGGAAGAAACGTTGGGAAAACTTTTGGAACCCTGGTGTTCCTAGTCTTGGACCCATCAGAGTGTTTTTTCATGTGCCGCCTCAAGCCGCTGGGGAAGATGTAGGAGCTGCCGCAGATTTTACAGACGTGAGGCCGCTGCCCCGTGTGAATGACGCGGTGCTGCGCCAGCCCTGCATGGTACGGAAATCCCTTGCCACATTCCTTGCAGGTGTACGCCTTCTCTCGGGTGTGCACCGGCATGTGTTTGGTCAGGTCGGCGGCCGATCTGGTTCGCTTCCCGCACACTTTACACACGTACGGCAACTCTCCGCTGTGAGTTCGTTTGTGAATCTGAAGAGTGCCTGAATGTGCAAAGGACACGCCGCAAACTTCACAAGTGAATGGCTTTTCGCCAGTGTGCGTTCGCAAGTGATTTTTCAGAAAGCATTTTTGTAAGAAAGTCCTCTGGCAATACAGACACTTGTACGGCTTTGTGAAGTTCGGATCATGTCTACGCTTATGAACGTTTAACCCATATTGATCGACAAAGGACTTCCCACATACCTCACACTGGTAATCTCGCCTGCTGAAGTGTCTCTTCACGTGTCTGTTGAGAGCAGCCTTCCACCGAAAAGTTTTGGGACAGTGCTGACAGGCAAGCTCTTTCACAGCCGAGTGGACCAGCACATGCACCTTTAGGTCTTCTGGATCGGGAAAATGCCTGCCACAATTCTGACACAAGCTGTCTCTCAAATCATAATGTTCTTCTAATATGTGGCGTTGAAGTTTCTTTGGAAAGCAAAACTCACGACCACACAGCTCGCAGCAAAACCTCTCCTTTTTGTTACCGATACTTCCCTCCCTCGTTTTCTCTTCTGGTTTTGATTCATTTTTGTCACTGGTCTCTGAACAAAGAAAGGAGCTCACTTCAGCCTGTGAGACTTCATCCACAGCAGGTAAGGTCAACGGAGAACTGAAAGAAATTGCTTTGCTCTTTTTCTTGTGCCGTGGCTTTTTAAGTTCTTCACATTTAGGGGACTTTGTACCATGTTCTCCAAAGTATTTCACATCATCATCCTTAAGCTTTTCTCTGTTTGATCTCAGAACCTTCTTACAAGTTTTCACTCTTTCAGGTCTCGTTTTTGTTTTCTTCGTCGCACAATCTTCGACACATGTATCAGACTTGCCAACAACGCTTGGAACAGCGGGGTGTTTTTCCTGATTTACGTCACCACCAGAAATACAGTTCTGAGATGCTACATTGGATGTGTTGATGTCACATCCATTCGGATCAGAATACGTAAGGCTACCTCCATCTACTTCTGCTACAGTTTCGGACCGGATAGACCTCACATTTAAGCAGAGAGTCTCCTTGGCTTCCACTACATCAATCTTGTAGTCTTGAAAAAAGTTCTCAATTATTGTATCACTGATATCTATCTTTTGACTTTTCAAAACGCTTCTCACCGCAAATTCCTTCATCGATCCAAACTGACAATACTCGACACGAGACATTAATCGACTGAAAAATTCTCCTACCGTCTCAAATTCTTGTTGCAAGACAGTGAAAAATCGGAATCTCTCTAGTAACAGCAACAAGTGTGGTAGGCAAACCTTCTCTATCAGTTTGAGTATTTCGGCAAGAGCGAGAACATCTATCCCAAATGTCTTCACCGACGTCAAAAAGTCTTGAGAGTGTTGCCCAGCGATGTAAAAGAGCAGAGAGGAGCTGGAGCTGTAAGGAGCACCAGACAGCGGAGGAGGGGAGGCTGAGCTCAGGTGCGTTGTGAACCTCTCTAACAACAGCTTCCATTCCTTCAATATGAAGGAGTCTTCAGCCATTGTTGGAGGCATGGGCAAGGAGAATTCCATTTTGATTGAATGGTTGATTCAAGACTTTTGCCTCTGATAGAGAACGTCAGATCATCAATTCATCTTTTAATACAATAGAGTTATTTCTTTCCCACTGCCAATATGAGTTCACTCGGTATCAACTTTTCAAACATACTTCAAGGCAGCTGAAATGAGAGACACAGAAAATAGCAAACTGTTAAAGTCATTCAAACAAAAATTGGCGACAACATTATTGCTGGAGCTACTGCAAAAGGAACCTTTTTCATGAACACATACATCATCAGTCAACAGCTAAGTCTCAGTAAAAGACCCAGAAGACTCTTATACTTTTATACTATCATATTTTGTGTAGACTCTGAGTTTCGTCTTCTATTATGGTCGCATTCCAAAGTCTGAAAATAGTGAAAACGTTTTCAGATTCTCAAGAGAGCCAAAACAACTTAGACTGACTCTTTTCTTTCAATTAATTTCCCAGTCTTTCTCCCTTAACTTGGCAAGAACAACAAGCAGGCAGGGCTCATCAACTCTTAGACTGATATTTTTATAATGTTAGGGTACAAGGGATGTTTACTGTCCAAAAATTTGGATTTAATTTTTTTTAGTGCAAGCTATAATGTATATTGTTTTTAGTTTTAGTAGAGGTTTTACGGCGCTCGCAACTGTATAAGGTCATATGAGCGCCAGAAAACTAGAGGCGTTACAAAAGAGTAACAAACATATAAAAGAACGGGAGATAAGGACGATAGAAGAAGTTTGATAGGAAAGAAGAAGCAAACCACATCAAAGCACCCGCCAACTGTCACGATATATTCCATACTTATACTCGAATATAGTGAAGATGTTCGATACGAAAATAAACACTTCCCTTCCCTATGAAATCAATATGGCTGAATGTTTACTATCGTCTTGTGCTCATCTGATAGATCAAATATCAAGAATACATATATGCATCATTTATTATAACACCAACCATCCACTAAATCAAGATTGCCCTGTCGAGTCAAGCACTTCACAGAACAAACATGGGCCCATCTAACGTAACCATCTGGCACTCACTCATTCCTCATCAAAAGAATGCTTGAGAAGCGTGGTTCTTGGCGCAGCGACTGTCGTTGTTGCAGGTCCGAAATAAGTGAGCCTATCAGTGTCTGTAGTACTGTAGACTGTAGTGTAAGTGTTGCAGTTAGATGCTTCACAGTTGCATGAAGAAGATATGAGAGTTCTATTACTATTTTGGGGAGGAAGTTAAAGTGAAAACGTTTTTTGCCTCTCCTGAAAAATTTGCCTTGCTACCTGGGCAGGACCATTCGTCGTTTTCCCTTACGACGCTAAAACATGTGGTTAGCTGATTCTTACAAAGACAATGTCACGAGTACAAAAATGGCAATGGAAAAAATGGGAAGAGCCATTTTGTACAAAGGTGATTGTCTAATAAATAAATCTACAGGTGGCCGTTACAGCAGTTTTTTGGACTGTGTCTGTAGGTAGGCCTACATGCAGATGTTGGTTTCTTTTTTGTTTTTGTATTTGAGTTTGGAAGTAGTTATTCTCACCATTTGTGAGAATAAATGTGGCCTTTGGGTTTTGTGGACTGTGGACTCGCTCACAATCAACAGCAACAGTAACAGACCACATTGACAGTTGGACAGTGACAGTGACATGACAGTGAGTGACTTCAGTGACAAACACTTTGAAACAGCAATGACAGTATTGACAGCATTCAACAATCACCTTGGCTTGTCAGCTCTATTTACCTCTGTGAAACAACGTAAAAGTAAATAAAGTTTACATCTGCATACCCGCGATCCTTTTGTGATTTGCTAGGGGTTTCAGTTGCACTTCTGAGGTTCTAATCATAGGCCGGCGGGTCAAGATCAAGGCCTAGCCCAGCCTAGCCCTATTTCGTGCTGACTTTACTGCTGACTGCTGATGTTGATGTTTGTGCACCACAAGCCACAAGATCTTACTGTGTCAGCCAGCAGGAAAGGTGGTGGTTCGTGGTGTTGGTTTGATTGATATTACTGCATGTCTATACACTCGACACCGTCGTTCCGTTTTAGGCGAATAACTTTAGCAGTGCATTTCACTACGGGTTTTAAAAAATTGCAACAAAGATGATTTTAGTGCACTTAGAATTCTGTGTTTTGGTGTCATTAGAACCAGAAAACCTTCCTCTCGGCATGAATCGGAAAGGAGAAAATTTGTTTTAAAATGCCATTTAATGGTATAGTATCGAAATAGTCATATTTAATGTTAATGTTAACATTGAAAATAAAGAGAAAGGGTGAGCCTTGTCGCAGAACTATACGCTGGATGGTTGGGGTTTGTGTATGTGTGTGTGTGTGTGTGTGTGTGTGTGTGTG